TTCTTTGAGCTCCTTTCAGACACACTGTTCAATCAACCCTTGGAGCGCCGACGGTGCCGATCTCTGGAGCAACTCTCTGAAGTACATTCACAAATGGCTTTTCATTCACTCATCCTCACACGCTGCAGAGATGAAACATCACCAGGAGACATTTAGCTTTCGCTTCTCACCCAATGGAAACTCGGGGATGGATTAGATTTTTCTGGAATTAACCCTGAAACTCTGAAGTTGACCTAATTACAGTAAGACGGTGCACACACACCACACTCACACACAAACACCTGCCATATTAACACCCCCTCATTCTGTGTGAATGATGAATTAAATGTTAAACGTACATCCTTCACATCTCAGAGAATCACATATTAGCATCCTCACATGATTGATGAACATTACGACAAAGATAAAAGCTCTTAAGTGAACTTGGAGCATCTTTCATCTGCCACAAACACACAATTAAAGACGTGCTAACTGCAAAGTAATCACACTTATCCCACTGTAAATATGTGTGTGTGTGTGTGTGTGTGTGTGTGTGTGTGTGTGTGTGTGTGTGTGTGTGTGTGTGTGTGTGTGTGCGCGTGTGTGTGGTACTCACATCTGTCTCGGTTGCAGTCACTCCTACAATGGGTCATAACAAGAGACGAAGAAGAAGAGGAGGAGAGATAAACCTCAGTGCTTCTGAGTGTCTGACTGATGCTTCCTCGCCGAGAGAGACAGAGAGAGGGAGCAGGGGGGCGTGACCACTGAATAAGGCAGCGGGTTGTACCATCTCACACTCCACAGAGGGGGGAGGAGAGGAGGAGGAGGGATTACCGGATCATTATTTACCTGTAGCAGGGGGGGATGTGGCATCAGTTATAGACATAAAGTGTAAAGCAGACGAAGTGAAAACAAAAGGATAAAATAGAGAATAAAAGAAGAATCAGTCCTTCAGGTAATGCAGACACACACAAGGTGTCAGAGAGAGCCGTCTCCCCCCGCCCCCTCCTCTCCAGAGTTGATGCTCACGCAGGTTGCCATGTGGTGGACACTGAAGCTTCAGTGTTTATCCAGCTTTGCATCGGTCTGTAAACCTTTCTGTGTTCTAACCTCTCTCCATTTTTCAAAAGCATCTCCAATATTGATCCTAGTTTGATCACGTTTCTGCTCGTGGAGCTTATTAGAAACATGCAGAGGCTTTTTAGGTAACATAGCATGTTTCCTTAATGTCTGATCATATAGTAAGCTCACTTTATAATTTCACTCACTACACATCTCACTGATTGGACCTTTAAATGTCTCTGTGCAAGAAGAACAAACATCCCTCAGTCTTAATTGTGATTATTCGGAGGCAGAAATCTGAGCGAAAAATATGTGAAAACAAAAATATCAGCTCGTTTAAATATATCATTTTTACATTTTCAGATATTAATTCACAGCTGAAAGATTGAATAGGATGTAAACATCCAGCACTCGCAGAGCTTTGATTGGTCGATTAAAAATAGTTTAATCAGGGTTTAGAAATCGACCTGGGTCAAAGAGAGGGGGGGCTCCTCGATCAACCGGCCGTCATCTCTCTCTGTTTTAATTACAAAATCCATTAAATGATTTCACTTTGATTAAAGCTGTCCTATCTAATTAAGATGTGATGATGAGGAGAGCGGGGGCGTCTCCCGGGCTTCTCTGTTTATCTCTGAATTAACCTCCATCAGCAGCTGGCCAACGGACTCCCAGCATGCATTACCCCAGCATGAGCGTTTAACGTCAGACCACAGGGTCAGAGTAAACACACACACACACACACACACACACACACACACACACACACACACACACACACACACACACACACACACACACTGAGGTTTCAAACTCTGACTCACTTATTTCTGCTTCAGATTTTAAGATTCGTCGGATATTCTTATTTAATTACGATCTCTATTAACACAAACGTACAAATACACCCATATTTAATTTTCTTCTTTAAAGGTAGAGTGTGCGACTTTTTGATCCAGTAGATGTCGCCCTTCAGCACCAGCATGAAACCAAAATAAACTGCTGTTTGGCCACACCTCCTCCATACTGAAGCCTCCGCTCTCTTCCAGAGACATACCTCCAACCCCCCTGCACTTGTGTTTGCGTGAAGGAGTTAAGCCGGCAGACAGAGTTGACCTCTGCTCGAGCTGCAATCACCTGTCCTTCATTGTTTTGTTAGCATGCTAATGTTAGCGCTCTTTAGTTAGCTCATAGCTTCAAATTGCATGTAAATTAACACAGAATGACGGAGATCTAAAATCTCTTACTAACATCCAAATAATCAGTGAGTATGTTCTTCTTCTTCTCTCTGTCCTTGACTAAAACAGCTTTTATACACAAGGGGAGGAGCCGGCCGTCCCGTCCATGTAAACACGACTCTGACAACAACACAGCCAGCGGGACTCGAGCTTCTCACTCATTGTAGACAGTCATGACTCAGAGAACATTTATACAGGATAGACTTGATGTGGGTGGAGTCTGAGCAGGCTGGTTTCGGGAGACCTGCTCAGACTTCTCACTGTCTGTCCTCCCTGGCCTGCAGACTGCCTTCAGATTTTTCTTTGTTTCATGTTAGACTCATGTTGATTTCAGTGAACCTGTAACCTTGTGACCATCTACCTCGGGTCAGGAGCATTATACCAACTTAATCCCACCTGTGTGTGCGACGTCACCCACTGCACACGACAGTATTTGCATGTCGCGCACCCACACACTCATCCTCTTTCTATCGACTGGAAAGTAAAGGACAATGCCAACTTTCAGCATCGAGTGACAGGATGGTTACAGGTTCACTTTCATTCATAAAAGCAAATGAAGCGATCACAGCTTTGTAATGTAACCTGTGACGTCATAGGTAAACTTTATCCACAGCTCAGCTCACAAGAGAGAAACATGTACGTGAGCTCATCTCTTTAGGGTTCTGTTTCAAACGTCTAAAAGAGGAGCAGCTCCATCTAGTGGACACCTGGTGCACTAAACCAAAAAAAAGATCAGTCAGTAAATTAATCTTTTGTGACAAAATGTTTCCACTTCATCAAAATACTGTTTAGAAAATGTAAAAAACATATTGTTCAGTCACTTCCTGTAACTAATTTTATCGCTCTTAATCGTTTTTATCCATTATTTTCTTAATTCTTCTTCTAATGTTTGACTCCTCCGTCCTCTTCTTTTATATATTTACCAGCTGTCTCTTTATTTCCCCTTTTTTATTCTCATTTCTGTTTTTATTAGGCCTACCTGTGATATGATGTCTTCTTTATTTCTATTTTATTGTCATCAACTTGTGGACTTTTCTCTTCGTCCAAACCATCACCTGTGGTCATGAGCTTTGAGTAGTGACCGCAAGAGTAAGGTCAAGTCAAGTGGCTTAAATTAGTTCCCTGTGGAGAGCCGTATAGATAGGGTGAGGAGCTCAGACACTCAGTGGGGAGCTCGGAGTAGAGCCGCTGCTCCTTCAAATTGAAAGGAGCCAGTTGAGGTGGTTCAGACATCTGATCCTCCTGGACACCTCCCTTTGGAGGTTTACTGGGCACACCCAACGACCAGTTTCGTTTCATTTTAGTGTTTTACAGCCGTCACGTTTCATCCGATCATCGCCAGCATTTGTCACTAAATGGGAAATGGACTTCAGCTTGTATATTTCTTTTCTAGTCTTCTGACTATTCAAAGTCCTTTCACACCGCAGGTCACACCTACACATTCACACACTGACGGTAGAGGCTGCTGGGTAAAGTTACCGTCAGTGTTTACTCATCCATTCACACACATTCATATGCCGAAGACGAAGCAGTGGGAGCAACTTGGTTTTAAGTGTCTTGGGACACATCCTACATGTGGCTGCAGGAGCTGGGGATAGAACCCTGGTCGACCTTCTTGTTGAGAGATGACCGACTCTAACAACTGAGCCACAGCCGTCAGTGTGTTGCAGAGAGTTGTACTTCAATTGCTAACACTAAACAGCAAAAAATTGATCCTCAAATAAAGACAATGAAGCTTGAAACAAATGAAACAAAGAGAAGGCCTACAGTTTAACAAACCCAAACTATAACGTCCCCCCCTCCCCACCCCTACCCCGGAGGATTAGGGCCAACTTCACACACTGTGCATTCAATTCAAGGAGCATTCAATGACATCCAAGGTCGTGTTTGAATCAGCGGTTTCTGTACATCCAAAGCCACCACTTGTGTCTTTTGATTTCAAGCAGACCTCTTATCGGAGATTATAGTGTGTGTGTTTACACTCTGACATTATCATACTTTTCGATACGAGTCTATATGAGTCGACGTTTATACTTAAAGCAGCTCTTTAGGGTCTTTTCTGGGCTTTGAGGGTCCCTGCAGCTCTCTCTGATGGGGGTTGGGGGATGTAGGCCATGCTATCAGCAGATACCCGCCCTGTCATTTAGCAGCCACACCACACTCTCCTCAGAGCGTGCAGCAGGTTTAGAGTTTCAAACAGAAACACTCAAAATGAGGCTTTATGATCGGTGAGACTGGGACAGAAGTCACATTCCTGAGGCGGGGGAGCGCCGCCGCTTTGTTGTTCCTCAGAGGATGATTAAAAGATGCCACAGCCAGCTGACTGTTCCTTCTAATTTCAGGCTCTATTTCTGGAGGATGCTGATGGATCAAAAAAGTGAAAGTGTGTTCCAGATGTGGGAGGAGGAGGAGGAGGAAGAGGAGGAGGATGAAGAGGAGGGGGAGGAGGAGGAAGAGGAGAAGGAAGAATAGAAAGAGGAGGAGGAGGAGGAAGAAGAGGAGAGAGGAGGAGGAGGAGGAGAAGGAGAAATAGGAAGAGGAGGAAGAGGAGGAGGAGGAAAAGGAGAAAGGGGAGGAAGAGGAAGAAGAGGAGGACGAGGAGGAGGAGGAGGAAGAGGAGGAGGGTTGTGACGTAGCAGAGGGAGAAATTTGGCATGTTCCCTTTAAAAAAAAAGGGACAGCGGAGTCGAGGAGATGACTCAGTTGTGGAGAAGCACGCTGAGGAGACGGAGCTGAGACTTCATCAGGAGTTAGTGATGATGAGTTTGGAGGTTTTGTTCAGGATGAGGATCGTCTTGGTCGCGATGTCGATGCTGTGGCTCCATCAGGCGGCCTTTACTTCTGCTCAGGTGAGTACTCTAACCACATTTTGAATTCCTGTTACTGTCGTTTACTTCTCTCTGGGAACCTGCTGAGGAGCTTTTTGGAGTCACATTGGTTCTTTATATTTTCTAAAATGTTATAAACAGACATATTGTGTCATTACAATTCTTAAGTGGTGTGTGTTAGAGGCACAAGTTACCATCACATGTCAGGGATTGTGACGACCTTAACCTTTAAACGAAATCTGCAATTTACAGTGTTTGAATTTTGAATCGTTGCAATATTAGAAAAAGAGAAGTTCTAAATCTATTGCAAATAGATACAGTGTATGTTTACATTTATAAAATGCATAAAGTGTGTTTTATACGTTCATAAGGAGGGATGGTTCTGAAATTTTTCATATTCATTTTTTTTTAGTTTAGGGGGATTTTAAGATTTTAATTGAAACGTCCTCTTGGTTTCCTGCGATTGGTTTTAGAAGAAGATATACCTTAGTAATCCACGAGTGGAAATTAAATTTTACACTTGGTAGTTCAACATAAAACACACACACACACACACACACACACACACACACACACACACACACACACACACACACAAACAGGATCCTTTGGACATGAACTGATGGAGAGATGTCAGAGTGAGGTGGCTGCAAACAGCGAGCGCTCCTACTTGTTGTTATCTGCCTTGCTCAGGGAAACCTCAACCTCTCAACTGGCACCTCTCCAGCTACCAGAACAATTTACAGATTTGGTCCGCACTGGGACTTAAACCGGTGACCCTTCAGTTCCCAACCCAAGTCCCCACAGACTGAGAGGTCTACGATTAAACTGAACACTGAACTTAATTTGTACTTAAATGAAAATGATTTCCTGCAGTCTTCAGCTGCTCGTTGTTATCCTGTGAGGTAATAAACACTTTGTGTAAGCGGATGTTTTTCATGTTTTTTTGCACTCTGACATGTTGAACTGAAGTTCACCCTCGCCCGTGTCTCTAACCTCAGAGAGACGCCTCTAAACCCGCAGCTTCATTATGTGGCACCAGCGTCTTGTTTGGTGTGTCATGTTTTAGCCGACGGTGTGAGGTCAGCAGCGGGCTCAGGTCCAATTCTCACTGGGGTGTCACTGCAGCGAGCCGGCGCTCTGAAAACCTCACCTCTATGTATAGACCTCACACCTGACACTCACTCAGACATCTTCTGCATGGCTGGACAAACAAGGAGAGAGGGGGTTAAAATATTCTCCTGCACAAAGACGCTGGATTCAATGGTTTCTTTGTGTTAGAGAAGCTTTAAAGGATTATCTTGTGTCAAATCTTCTCCACAGCAAATTGAGTTTAATCTCTCTCTTCTGTACAACCCTCAAAAAAAAAAGTCTGTGCAACACCCTGCAGGCGACCTTTATTATAGTATGCATGAGTATGGTTCAGATTTCAGTTGAAGAAGAAAAAGCAAAATGCTGAGTAAGTGAAAATCTGACTGATGCAGTTTGAGTTTTGAATGCAGAACTATTTGAATTATTTGATCTATTTGATCTGGACCGTGTGAGCCGTCCTACTCGAGGAGGCTCAGTGGGTTCACTGTGTGTCCTCTTACATGTCCCTCCTCGCTCCGTCCACAGGAGTGTCCCTCCACCCACGACCTGCTGAACTCTCTGCGTCAGGTGGAGAAAATGTTGGCGGTGCACGAGGCGTCGTACCAGCAGGGAATTCGCTCCCTGAAGAAGAAGATGAGCGCTCTGCACAACAGCACCATGGCCATCTTCAAGACCGGAGGTGACAAATGGCGGTTTATTATACAGGCGTAGAATGGTGGAGTTTATTTCCTTACCTGGCAACATCTTAGTGGCAGAAACGGAGAGGAAAGTCAGACTGCATAGTTGTAAAGAAATAAAGAAATGCTTCACCCCCTTTTGATGCAGTCAGAAGAAGCTAAATCTAGCTATCAGCTACTCTCAGATTAATCAGTGGAGAAGAAAAAGTTTGATTTTTGGATTTTGGATTCTGGAGGGACGTGTAGCAAACACAGGTGTTCTGTAAAACAGCAGACAGACAGATTTAATTTCGTTAATCCCATTTCATATCGTTATCGCGATACAATGTTATCACAAATCGCAAAATTCTTCTCACATCGTGCAGGGCTAGAGTTCAAACAAGTTTGGGGGTTGCTCCAATAGATCGCCTCATCCTGCAGCCATGAAACAAGACGTTTTGGCTGCAGTGTAATCCATGGGACGGGGACGCCAGTAGCCCAGTGGTTAGTGGGCGTGCCCCATTTACAGAGACTACAGTCCTCCAAGCGGCAGCCTGGGTTTAGAATCCCACATGTGGCTCCTTTCCCCACTTCCTCTCTCTCCCTGACCTCTGACTCTATCCACTGTCCTGTCTGTAAATAAAGGCCCAAAAAAATCCATGGGAAGATTTGGGGAATGTTTTTCTTGGGAATGTAACATAAAAAAGATGAAGGTATTCTCAGGGTCAGGGGGGTTTATTACTTTAATCTGAGACGTTAAAATGTGTTTCTCTGTGCACCCAGCCACATGTCCCAAACTGGAGCCCCCCCCTCACGGCCGGAGACTGGGCCGGGTGTTTGCCGTCGGGCACGAGGTTCACTTCCTGTGTAAACCCGGCTTTGAGCTGATTGGCCCACGGACCCGTGTGTGTTTGGACTCTCTGAGGTGGAGCGGCCAGCAGCCGATGTGCCGACGTGAGAGATGAGACCAAACCAGAACACAAACTGATCCTGGTTCAGTCCCGGCAGATTTCTAACATCATGTTTTTCTTCCTCACAGGCCTCAATGAAACCGGAAACTCCCTCGCCTCCTTCTCCCCCGCCGCTCCTTCCTCCTCCTTCCCGGGCTCGGCCGCTCTGTCAGCTCCCTCCTCTTCATCCTCTTTGTCATCTTCAGCTCCGTCTCTCTCCTCTTTGTCACCCACATCCTCCTACCCCTCCTCCTCGGTCCGGCCGTCTCACTGCACTCACTTCCTGGGCTCAACCCGATGCACCTGTGACGTGGGCTTCACCATCTCAGGCCGTGACAACAACATCTGCACAGGTGAGAAGTATTACTAATCAATCATAAATAAAGTTAAAGGGACAGTTTGTTTAGAAGTAAGGTTGTATGAGGTATCATTAGTAAGTGTGCTATACACTAAGGAGCCGGCTTACACAACCTACACTGAGGTTAATGTATGTTCTGCTGCAGACAGGTTCATGAGATTCACAAACTTAAGCCACTCAAAAAAGTTCTACATCATACACAAATCACAGTTTTGGTTGCACTGCTTCACCTTGATACAAAATACTCTTTGCACTGTTTTCATCTTCACAACGCTCTTGTATTTCTAGCATGCAGTGAGAGTATCAGATCAGCTATGACATCTTCAGAAAAGGGAAGTTTGACTTCAGTGTGAGCTCGCCTTCCTGACTCAGAAGGCTAACATAAGCCTAGTTCACACCTGCACAAAACTCCAACTTCCAAAAAAGGAAGGAGCTGCATGTGTGAATGCTAACACCTGAGTTTTTCACTCAGACTTTATCCGGAGTTTCTCCTCCAGCCTCCTTGTATTTATTCTGCAGAAAGTCAGAGTGAGCTGATGTGAGAACGCAGCAGGATATAATCAGGAGAATTGGGAGCGAGTGGGAGGGGGTGGTGACGTTTATTCCCTGTGATCGCTGCACGACCATAGACTGTCTGCACGCCACCTCTACGATCTTCGTGCTCTAATGAACCTGCTGCATTATGTTTCCTGTTCTCCAGTATGTTCTACTCCACTCTTTAGTTCAGATTGAGATTGGACTCTGTTGCTTCATGTAGGGATGGCGCTGACTGTACTTCATACATCCCCACTTCAAAGAGTCCCTGAACTCCCCCTTTAACTACAATCTCTTCTCTGTGCTGGTTTCAGACATCGATGAGTGTCTTCTGTTCCCTCTGGGTCAGCCCGGCCGGCTCTGCATCCATCAGTGCGTCAACACTCCCGGAAGCTTCCACTGCTTCTGCCCCCCCGGATACAACCTCGCCAGAGACGGCCGCAGCTGCACAGGTCAGAGCTCATCTTCTCTGGTGAGGGGGAATATTTAGAGACGTGTCACTGACTCTCACCTCTGTCCGTCTCTCTTTGTGTTCAGACATGGACGAGTGTGAAAACCTGATGCACAACTGCACAGAAGAGCAGGCGTGTGTGAACACCTACGGAGGCTTCCAGTGTGTGTCTGTGGAGTGTCCTCTCATGAAAAACGCCACATACATCAAGACGTCTCCAATGTAAGAGTGCACCAACATCCTCGGTCTCAGACATTACAAAAAAACAGCGTAAAACAGCGTAAAACAGCGTAAAACAGCGTAAAACAGATTCTTCAGGGTACCTGAAAACAGACGTAACCTCTCACCTCAAACAGATTCTAAACAAACCTTAAAGTAGAGTATTAAGGGTACCTTAAAACAGACGTGTCCATGTTTCAGCAGGGAAAGAAACTGACTTTCTGACAGATTCAAAGTTTGACCTTTACATTTATTTAAGCACATATCAAAGGCGCATTAAAATATACCTTAAAACAGAAGAAAAACAAACACAATAAACAAACAAGTGGGGCTGTTAAAAGTGCCCATGTTTGACAACCTGCCATGGATTTTGCATGAAAAATTCCACTTAATTTATACAAGCAACGTTTTTGAACTGTTGTATGAGGCTACCTTCCTCTGCTAAAAAGAAACAAAAAAGATGTTTCTACAGAAAGCCAAAATAAATAAATATAAAAAAGGTTTAGTCTTTGTTCACTGGAGCACTTTCACTGTTTCATTAGTAGCATTTATTTCAGCTGAACACTTACAGTAGCCCGAAGTCATTGTAAGAAAGATAACCAGCTAGTGGCTAACTGACTCACTGCCTTATTCTGAGAGTGAGATAACAATGAAAGTGCAAACAAAGCAAGAAGGGGAGGAAATGAAAACTGTGCAGAGGAGACAAAGAAAAACCACAGTCCTTCTCACCTCCAGAGACAGACTCTCAGATTTTAAATGACAGGGACAGAGATGAGAGAGGAGAGAGAAAACAATGACTTTTACATCCATGTGTCCCACTTCCTCTCTCCACCCGACAGTTAGCGCCCCTCCTCTGCAGCAGCCGCGATCAGAGTCAGGCTGAGGTTTGGCTTCAGATGCCCGTGTAGGGTTTCTGGCTCCAGGAAGCAGCTGATGCTGATTCAGGGGCGTGAAGCTTGTTTATGAACATTTCTAGAGGTTTAATTTATTGCTGCAGCTGAATTATAATCGCATGTCTAAGAAGTGTATGGAAGAAAACGTCATGTAGTCCAAACTCAGCAGGGGAAAGGAAACTTGTTTTACCACATGCAGGGTTAAAGCTTTGGGCTCATGTGATTTAGGTGGGGTCACAGAAAGAACAATTATCATCAGCGTGCAGTGATATACTAGAGAAATAGAACAGAGTATCATCAGCGTGCAGTAACATAGTAAAGAAATAGATTGGAGTATCATCAGTGTACAGCGATATAGTAGAGAAATAGATCAGAGTATCATCAGCGTACAGTGATATAGTAGAGAAATAGATCTGAGTATCATCAGCGTACAGTGATATAGTAGAGAAGTAGATCTGAGTATCATCAGTGTACAGTGATATAGTAGAGAAATAGGATCTGAGTATCATCAGCATACAGTGATATAGAAGGGGAAAACGATCTGAGTATCATCAGCGTGCAGTAACATAGTAAAGAAATAGATTGGAGTATCATCAGCGTACAGTGATATAGTAGAGAAATACTAGATCAGAGTATCATCAGAGTACAGTGATATAGTAGAGAAATAGATCAGAGTATCATCAGTGTACAGTGATATTGTAGAGAAAAAGATCGGAATATCATCAGCGTACAGTGATATAGTGGAGAAGTAGATTGGAGGATCATCAGTGTACAGTGATATAGTAGAGAAATAGGTCTGAGTATAATCAGCATACAGTGATATAGAATGGGAAAACGATCGGAGTATCAGCAGCGTACAGTGATATAGTAGAGAAACTAGAGCTGTGCATCTTCACTGGTCTTATGATTCGATTCAATTACGATTATCCAGTCAACGATTCGATTCGATATCGATGCATCACGATTCATCCTCAATTTTCTATATTACTGCACATGGCTACTTTTTCATAAACAGAGACAAACAGTCTTATAAATATGAACTCCTTTTGTATAATTTAAAAAGTGCTTCAGACAGCAATGTCATTATCAATATCTTTACATTGTATGCTAAAATTAATACATTATAGCGGTAGCCTACAGTATAGGTAATAAGTTTACGTTTTTGTGTGTTTAGTTTATTAGATGACAGTATTATGTTTTTAAGTCACTGTGTGTTCTCTTCTCAGGACGTTGTAGCCTTTAGCTGTGAGCTTTGTTCAGGGTTAGTTTTGTTTCTGTCCTTTTTATTTCAGAGTTGTGTTAAGTCGCTACTGCTGTAAACACCCCATTTCCTGATACGAGTGTTTCACAATAAAATCACTTCAACTACAGATAGGCCGGGGACTTTTATTGTTAAGAACTTGTCAGAAGTAGAATGTGTTTATCATCGAACGAACACAGCTTTTAGCGGGGGTGCACTTAGCGGTGATACTGTCGGGAGTCTACTGTGTTTACAGCTGCTCACTTTATCACGAGTCACCGCCACAGCCCCCTTCTTTTAGTTATCCTGGACTTAAGACAGCGAGGCATCAGTTTAAACACACCTTTAGCTGTAATGAAAATGCTAATCCGTGCTGCGGTTGGCTAAAGAGACACCGAGTCAAGCCGTTTCAGCCTGCAGCGGAACACTGTGGTCTGAGCGTGCAGGACCAACTGACTCTGCTCATAAAGTCAGCAAGCACAGGACCAGGACTCAATTAACATTGTTTTCTCTCACAAATCCCTCTGTTAGCCTACGTTACTTTCATAACACACCACCGTGTGTGTTTAGGAGAAACAAACTCACTCAACGCTACGCAAAACAACCTTATTTAGCGGTTGGCAGATGCTTTTTTCTAACCCTCGTCAGCATCAATTACGTCCTGTCCCTGCATCGATGTATTAATCTTCTAATCTGCATCGCGATGCATCGATTAAATTATTAATTTCAACAGCCCTAAGAGAAACAGATCGGAGTATCATCAGCTTACAGTGATATAGAAGGGGAAAACGATCAGAGTATCATCAGTGTACAGTGATATAGTAGAAAAATAGATCGGAATATCATCTTTGTACAGTGATATAGTTAAACCTGCCTCTTTCTTGGTTCATTGGAAACATCATCTTAATTTTAAGAACTCTACTGTGTACTGTCTATGTGCACAAAGGTTAGGGTGTAGTTTAAAATGCAGCCAAAAAAAATGGTTTCGTACCATGCAGTCTTAAGATAAACATAATGTGCACATCCGCTCACAGTGATTGTTATAGAGAATTACAGGTCATAAAATTTCATATTTAAGGAGGTGACAGAGATTTGTTCAGAGTCACTCTGGGATTTGATTTAGTTTGATGTATCCATTGTGTTCATGACAAAAACAAACAAGTATGGAGTCTCTGGAGAGCAACAGAGATTCACAGCTTGCAGAAAACAATCTATTCAAATCTAGAGGAGGGAGGATGAAAGACAAAAGAGGAGGGGGAAATATTCACTTAGACCACAACCACAAAACCTAACTACCAAGTGCAATTTGGATGAGTGTTTGTAAATCGGTGTTGCCATGACATTCTTCAGAGCAGATCACTCTTAACACGCCTCACACCACAGGAACAACTGACGAGGATGATCTTTAGAACCATTAATAAATCAGGACTTGTCTTGCTTTGTTCGGGAGGGGAAATCAGGCCTTAAATCAGACACATTTAAAGGTACAGACACAGAAACAGCCTGTTCTGAGCAGGGCTGAAATAGAGGGGTTTATAGGCACGATCAAATACAGGATCAGAGACTTATTTAAACTGGTTGAATAGGAGGAGAATATGTGAACTTTATGGTTTATAGGGCAGACAGAAAGTGACTGAGCCTCAGCAAAGATGTCCATAAATGAAAGTAAATTTAATATGAACGCACCTTTTGTCTCCCCAGGCGCTGTGAGAGGAACCCGTGCATGCTGGGAGACAAAAGCTGCACCCAGGCTCCCAGCTCCATCTCCTTCCACTTCCTCTCAATAGTGTCCAACATGTCAGCCCCCCGCGTCCTCTTCAGGGTGTCGGCGGCTCGTGTGCTCGGGGACACATTGAGATTCGGCCTGGCAGGGGGTCGTGGACGGGGTCACTTCAGCGTGCAGCGCTCCGGACGGCAGACGGGCACCCTCCTCCTGGTGACGCCCATCAAAGGTCCGGCCACTGTGGAGGCCGAGGTGGAGATGAGCGAGCTGGAGCGAAACTCCTTGCTGGGACGCTACCTCACCAAGGTCACCCTGTTCGTGTCACCGTATGAGTTTTAGGGAGAGGACTGATGGCTGAGGGGTAAAAAGCTCCACAGGTCCACCATGGTCGTCCAATATATGACTCATTTATACCCCAGTAGACCTTAACATGAGTCCAGAACACATTTACAGGCCAACTGGAACATAAACTGTCCTATTAAAAGGTTTTAACTGTTTTTAAAATATATTCTTAGTATTTTTCTTAAAGAAGTAAGAAGTTGATCATTGTTAACACATCATAACCTCAGTCTTAGACTTTGAGCCTCTCAAAGGGTAGTGTAAAAATTACAACTGCTCTTTTTATATAGCAACTTTAAGTTAAGAATTTCCACAGCGCTTGAACACCAAATCACAAAATGGTTGCCTGAAGGACAAAACAAGTGGTTAAAGGTGTAAAGTACAATAAAAGCAATAAATATAAATGAATATGTAAAGGCAGTAAATGCTCGATATATGTTTAAGAACAGCCCGCGTTTGTACTGTTTGTGAGTGACGTCATGAATTTAGCAATTTAGCTTTTTTTTGTAGCCTAAAGAGACCATATTTGGAGCTGAGGAGGAGCAAGGGGGCTAACAGGCAGATTTCCCAGGATCCATGTGTGTAGTTCCCTGTCTCTGGTTGTTTTGCTCCGTCTGATGGCGCTCGTTTTAACCCAATGGTTACATTTATGAAGCCTGACCACAGAAAAAAATATAGGATTACACGGGAATAATAAGAACAACATGCAAACAACGGGCTACTTTGTCTTTCTGCTGTTGATTTGCTGTTGTTAATTTTGAGAACAGTGGGATATAAACAATTGAGAGTCTTTGGTTTTATTTTGAAATTGACTTGAGCACTCCGTGCGTTCCCTTGCCAGACTCGATCTGCTCTGTTCAGCTTGACACGTACTTGCAGTGGGCAGTGTTAGAGATAGACTCAGTGCATATTTGGAGCGCAGTGGCGCTTCTGGCAGGCCCTGGGGATTGTCTGCCCTTGCGTGGGCACACATGGATCCTGTGGAATCTGCCTGTAATAAGTCAGGTATCATGAGGGTACAAATATCTGCTAATTAGTGCTAAAATATAAATTAAACAATGTTAGAATTTGGCTGGTTGTAAAACGTTGAGCTTAGTCGTGCCCAGAAGTTAAAGGTCAGTGACTGAATTAGCTGAGGTGACACCTAGCAGACAGCTAGCAGTTCCCACCTGTAACTCAAAGAGGTCACGCCCCCTAATTCTGCATCAATTTGAACCCTAATATAAACATTCAGCCCATACAGTTGAAGAGAGAAATGAGCTCTAGAGAGCCAAAACTGTTTCTGTACCAGGCTGTAAACATGTTTTGTTTCTGCTGTAAAATTTTACATTTTAACATGGGGCTCTGTGGGGACTGACTCACTTATGAAGCCAGCCTCTAGTGGAAACTCGAGGAACTGTAGTTCTGGACTCCGGTGTAATTTTTTTAAAATATATTTACGATAGTGGTGCCAAAAGATGAAATCTTAGTATTTTATCATTTACACCATTTCAGACTTTTTTTCTTTATCTATGAGGGCAAAATAACAAGATGTGATTTTTGTGTTTTGTTGTTTTTAAAAGTAAAAGTAAGTGTAAAATATTGGATAAAGAAGGTTGTAAGGCTGACTGAACTTAAGAGGAATATTTGATGTTTGTGTGTAAAGCTTGAGAGCTGAAGGCAGAACTGAATTAAAGTGAATTGAGTCTCAACAAATCCTTCCGGGGGCTACAGAGGGGTGTGAAACCACTGACAGTTGTTGGCTTCTTTTTTGGTGATTTATTTTGTAACTTACAACTTCTTGTCTTTGTATTTGTTGTGTGAAATATTTGATATTTTCAGTATAAGTTTTTAAAGGTCACATATTCTCCTCCTCTTCAACCAGTTTAAATAAGTCACAGAGCTCCTCAAAACATGTGTGTGAAGTTTCTTCTTCTAAATCCACTCTGATCCTGTATTTGATCATGTCTATAAACCCCTTTATTTCAGCCCTGCTCAGAACAGGCTGTTTCTGTGTCTGTACCTTTAAATGTAAATGAGCTGTGTCTGACCACACCCCCTGGCTTTCTCGCTCCATGTCCTATTGTTTACGGTGAGAAGGCAGACTCAAAGGGCAGAATAAACACCTTGCTGTGGGAGTGTCACCCACTTGGGGGAGGGCTTACTGCCCTTTGTGATGTCATGAAGGGAAATCTCCAAACGGCTTGTTTGAGCAAACATTTTCTGAAAAGTGGAGCAGGCTAAAGACAGAGAGGATGAACGCAGAAATGTTTACAGACCGATGCAGAGCTGGCTAAACACTGAAGCTTCAGTGTCCGCGACATGACAACCTGCATGAACAGCCACTCTAGAGAGGAGGGGGCGGGGGGAGACCGCGCTCTACAATGTTTCGAATTTGGACTGCAGTACCCATTTTACATATTGCTCCTTTAAGTAGCAATTTAGGAGGCAAATAAGAGCTCTGTGATTTGGCAGAATGGATTTGTCTTTTAATAGTTTAGATTTGAAACATTTGTCTTTGAGGCGTCTAGAAAATAGAAAATGTTTGTTTACAAAAAATGGATGCTGTTTTTTTATCATTATTCTGATATGAATGCATACAGACACACATAGTATTAGTATATTCTGTTTTTCTTTCTGTGAAAAGTGGAAGACTTTCAGTGATTCTGTTTCTGAACTTGTACTGCAGTGTTCTATTTCATTTCTTCAACACAAAGATTTTACCCCGGTCTGCTCTGCTCCAAGCTTTAAATCACCCAGGAGAAAACGTTTGTATGTTTTGAGACATTCGAGTCATAAACTGAAGAGAACGCAGCGAAGTCGAGGTGTTTTGGACTGAAGAATTTTACACACATCTGTCAGACGGCCTGAGGCCTCCAAAGAGCAGACAGAACACACACACACACATAGAGTATATACACGCACACAGACGTATAGCAATGTACATTTACACAGTATGTCTCACACACGTACAAGAGAGAAAACACACAGATGTATGTCTACATATAGATCTCACACACACACACTCGGGTTTATACATTGGATTTATCAAAAGTCAGGAAGTACCAAGACACTTCAGGCAACATGCTCTGTTGAAATGAAGAGCTGGGACAACAGGATAGAAACCTTGCAGACTTTATTATTATTAACAAACTGTCCAATTTTCATCTGTACACAACGACAACAAAAAGAAACCAAAAAAAGAAAAGTGGACAGAGGGAAGAAAAAAAAAAATCAGATGATCAGGAGCTCCGCGGATTCAGACACAAAACATTGTTTACAAAAACATCTTTAAATCAGCACAAACTTTAAAACAAGATGTTCAAGTCAGCATCGCTCGGGACGACGAGAACAGCGAGGAACCGAGCGGAGATCGCACAGCATCGGTGGGCGACACACACACACAAACAGATGCACTCATGATCTCAGTCTCACACACACACACACAGGCCCACGTGCTCCTCTGCTGGGGTGTTCTGTACAGCGGGATCCCTCGGTGGGACGGCGAGTAGGCACGCTTTGATGACGTCAGATGGAGAAAGAAAAATTAAAGGCATTTTCAACGAATCAGGACGTCTCATTTACAAGCAGGAGGGCAGTGCTCACCACAGCAAGCTTCCACAGTTAGAAAACAAAAAACTGCACGTACGTAGTTTACAGTATGTCATCACTCAGTATAGTACACATGTACACATGATCGAGCTGGGGGGGCGGGGCCGGGAGAGGGGGGGGGCGCTCTTTTGTGTTCCAGGGCACACGAGAAGGCTTCTGGATTCACACAGAGAACATAAAGATCCCGATTCTCCGATTCAGGGTACAACAGAAAACCTTGAGTGCAAACCTGCAGCCGAACAGAATCACCTCCGACCACAAACTAACCAGAGACCACAGGAAGCCAGAATCATCTCGACTTCTCCCATATCAGCCATGTTAAGTGCATCCACGCTGACAATAAGGCGAAATGCAGGACACTTCAAGTACAAAGACAATCTGAACATTTCTCGACCTCATCTTGATCGAGTAGCAGACGAGGCGGACTCTTCAACAGCACAAAAGGCCGCGTGATTTTCGCACACAAGTAGGTAACAGTGACAGCTCGCTGCGTTTTATAAAACCGAAATTCAAGTCAGAGAAGAATCGGGAAAGAGAAGGATGAAAAAGACGCGCGAAGTAGAAGACAGAAAAAAATGTTGCAAACGTCTTTTTCTGGATTTGCAAACCCCAGATCAGCGAGCCCTCCGTGTGTGTTTCAGTTAATACAGACACACGCACCTAGTTACACACAGTGGAGAAAACATTTCCTCCATTTCATACGACAGTTGCGTACGAGAGGAATGAATCTGTAGTAGTCGGCCTGCAACTTTTTGATCATTGAAAATGAGAAACGATCCAATTGTGGCATCAGAACGGGTATGGATATCGATTTTAAAAAGCATCGTATCTGAGTTTAACATTCTGGTGTCGTGACAACCCGACCTCTTTGCCGGATCCATCTGACATATTACAAACAAAAATCGCATGTTTTTTTGAACAGGGTTTGGATGGACCGTCTTCTGCTGGATGTCAGGAGAATCTCAAAACTCATCCAACAGAGCTTTAAATAAATCTTAGCTGGAGTTAAAAATGGTCGCCTGGTGTGAATGTGTTACATTTACATGAACTAGCATCGTTACGTTTGCTTTGTATCCGTGTGTACAAAATGTTGGCTTCACTTTTGGTCTGAAAACCCCGAGAGGCATCCACATCCATGCATAAAAAAAAAAAAAACATCATTTAGCTTCTGAAGCAGGTTGATGCCCGGAGGACGCCAAACTTCCTCCACATGCATCCTCCCCATACCCCCCCCCATTTCTAATCCTCCTGCAGGAAGGAGGGACGCTGGATCGCTCGCTGAAGAAAAAAAGGCAACCAGAGAACATTCAAATCATAGAAAAAAAAAACTTTGACCATTAGTAAACAAATAAATAAGGCTATGACAAAACAATATATATATATTTATAGATATAAAAAAAAATTAATGAAAAATGTGCAATGATTCCAGTATCATCTTTACACAAAAATGTTCACATCTCTATAATAATCTAGAATCTTTTCATTTCTTTTATTTGTCTCTCTCTCTCTCTCTCCTGCATTGTTTTGAGCTTTAAAGTACCAACCAGCGCGTAAACAGCCCCTCTAGAAAAGTAGACGGTGTGATGGAAACATCGTAAGGTGTGATATCCAACAACGTGATGCGTTTATGGCACAGGTTGGGCTGGGAAAAAAGAAAAAAGATAATCAGACTGCATAAAAGGAGATTTGCCGTGTGAAAAGTTAATCAAATCATTCCTGACGTGGGAGGAGCTTGAAGCGAGCTGCAGTGGAGTGTTTTGGGTTTTGTGATGCGGAGGGCTGGCTGGTTGGCACCGCCTGCCTGGCAGTCCCATGGCGATAAAATCAAACGAACACACATCAGCCAAAAAAAAAAAAAAAAAAATTCCAGAGTCAAACGAACCCTCAAAAACCATTTAAGCAGGAGCACAAACGAGAACAATATGACCGTAGAAAGACAATTTAGATCACACACACACTCGCTTTTTCTCGCACTCTCACACACTTGCTCGCTCACAAACACTCGCTCTGTAGTCACGCAAATACTGGAGTCATTAAACAGCTCTATACATGAGCATTTCCCATCCCAATTTCTACACATTTACACTTTAAACGGTTGAATTTGCCTCCCTCTCCTCCCCCCTTTATTTATCTGTCACCCCCAAAACCATACACCCCCCGCCACCCCTCCCCCTCCCCCTCCTCCCGACAGGAGAACAAACAGAAGAGGAAACATACTGCATCTGCACTGATGAGTGAGTGTGCTGTTAAACTGCAGGAGGACTGTTCAGGAAGAGAGGAAATAAAAAAAGAAGAAAAGTGGGTGGGGCTTATAGACAGGAAGAGCAGATGAGTCGCTGATAAAGCCCACCTCCTCCTGCAGGATTGTGGGTAATGTCATTCCGGCGATTGCAGAAAAAAAAGAGCCCAGGGTGGGAGTGTTTTGACGAGGAGGGGGGGAGGTTTTCTTGTTTTTTTTTTTCAGCTGTGGTTGTTTCTCCCATGGGCGTGTCCTGACCCCGGAGTGGGCGGGGTCTACCTGTCCTTCAGCTCCTGAGTGACGCGTTTGGTGATTCTGCCGCAGAGGAGCCCCATCAGGAAGAGCACCGCCACGCCCGCACCAATCACAGTCAGGATGTAGTTCTTGGATGGTGATGTCATCACCTGCATGGCGAGGTCTGAGAAACCCTCAGCGGGAGCCACCTGGCAGGAGGTGGAGACAGGAGAGTGTGAGACCACGGGTGACGGTGCTGCTCTGCTACATGCAGCTCAGCTCATAAGTATTCAAATAAACTAAACAGACTAGAGCTTGTATCGTTCTTTTCTAGTCTTCTGATTACTCAAACACTTTTAGGGGCGTCTGACACGCTGACCACGAAGCAGCGGGAGCAACTTGGGGTTTAGTGTCTCGCCCAAGGACACATCAGATATGGCTGCAGGAGCTGGGGATCGAACCCTCGACCTTCAGGTTGAGAGACCACTGACTCTACCAACTGAGCTTGTTAACCTAATTTAAAAATATTTATATATTTTTTTTAATGTTTGATTTCAGGGAGCTTGTGTCATAAACCGTTCATTAAAGAAACTGTGCACGCTTTCATGACATCATCGAAAAGCTTAAAGGAAGACCAGTAAATAATGACAGGACAAAGGACCAGATGGAGGAAGAAGTTTATAAATGTCATTCATCCTAAAAATCAGTTGATAATGTGCAGCCAACCCTACAGAATGGGAGGAAACTTGTCTGCTACATGCCTGTGTGTGTGTGTGTGTGCGTGTGTGTGTGTGTGTGTGTCACATCCCCTGCGTGTGTTTTCACAGTGTTCAGAGGGTTTTTCTCTGACAGGTGAGGACACTGCGGTCAGTGTACCTTGGCAGCGTAGCTCCACATGTCAATGCGATCCTGAAGTCTCTTCTTGCACTCGGGGCTGCAGACGAACACGTTTGTCCTGCAGCGCCTCCATCAGACACGACATCTCTGAGGAAACAACACAACACGTCAACTTGTTTTCAGGGGTTTGTGTAAAGAAGCCTCCGCCACCACTGCTGCTGCCTGGACGCCACATTTTCTACAACTTATATCATAACGTCAGAAACAAACACACAAAGAGGAAAGACTTATCTTTCAGCTGCAGGAGAATCAAGGCGCTAACTAAAATTTTCTTATTTATTCTCTGTATAAAAGGAATAATGTGCCACATTAAACACATGAAACCCCAACCTATCCTCTATCCTCTCTAACCATCTAGAGGTACTCACGGCGCCCCCTGCCAGGTGGGATGGCTGCACACTGATGTTTGATGTCCAGAGCGCAGGCCGTGTGGAGGACAGGATCGACGAAGATGTCCGCTTTACTCTCCTTCAACATGTTCAACACCTCCTACAGGAGGAGGACAAGGAGGAGGAGGAGGAGGAGGAGGAGGAGGAGGAGGAGGAGGAGGAGGGAAGAGAGGAGGAGGAGAGAGGAGGAGAGGAGGAGGAGGAAGAGGAAGAAGAGAAGGAGGAGGAGAAGGAAGAGGAGGACGAGCAGGAGGATGAGGATGAGGAGGGAGAGGAGGAGGACGAGGAGGAGGAGGGGAAAGAGGAGGAGGAGGAGGGGGAAGGAGGAGGAGGGGGAAGGGGAAGAAAAGGATGAAATATTTAAAGGTTGGAGAGAGGAGTAGGAAAAGAAGGATGAGGCAGAGAAAGATATTTAATACTTTGATGCCAGAAAAAATTTAACGAGATCGGTGTTAAAAAACTGAAATTCTTTAAAATATGAGTAGTTGTCTTCTCATGCCAGTGGAGAAAAATGAAAATAAAGTAGCTTCTGTGCAGATGTTACATCACAAAGCTGGGATTTACTTTCCCCCTCGTTGGTCAGTGAAGGCAGCGGTGAGTTTATTTACCTTCTTGCATCCTTCCTGTTTGATCTTCAGCAGGTTCACCTTCAGACACTCCTCCACCTGCCCCGTCTGCTCCTGAGCTGCCGCCTCCTCGGGACACAGCGTGGAAATCTAAACACACACACAAACACACACAAACACACGGAGAGAGTCAGAAACCAGGGAGTGACATGCCGATAGGAGGTCAGAATCGTACCTTGGCTGTCGGCTTTGAGGACTGTAGCCTACATGGGCATGCAAACTAACCGACTCACCACCAGGCTACGGCACCCCATGCTACCTCTTTGATTTATTTTCTCGAAACTATGCCAGTGACATCATTTTATTCCCTTTGTGCACACATTATTCAATCTTGAAAGTTTAAAGGACTGCGGTGGAAATAATTTGTTTTTGTCCGGATGTTTTTTCATGTAAACTTCTGACACACAAATTAAAGAATTCAACAAACTGAACTCCTCGGCTTGATTTGATCTTTGTTCTGAAAACTCGCCGATATGTTGGGATATTTAAACCTCAGTGACCTTAACTGGATAATATTTTACTCGTCATGCTCTTTCCTGATCGTTGCATTAATCTAAATATCTTCTGATGTCTGAACAAATTAATTTAAGAACAGACAGCACTTTTAATCTTTACATGACTCCCTTTTTTTAAATATATTCTTAAATCAAAAAAGATTTAATCTGATGAATTTAAGATCTAAAACTAAAACCATTGTTTCCAAAAAAAGGAAGGAGTCTAAAGATGATGTGAGAGAGTTTAAACATGATCATTATCTTCTCTATTTGTAGACTAAAAGTTAAAAATATAAAACTTTACGCTGCTTTTCACCTGAACTACCAATGAAAGCTGCAGTTTGTTCCCCTCATCAGTCAATAAAACAGTTAACTATCGCCCCCTGCTAGCAAGAAGGACACACTGCAATTCAAGTGAAAAGATTTCAGTTCCTCACAGTCCTTTATCCAAAACCTTTAAACCCAGTCGTCTTACTTCTTGAATTATAACCTCTGTATCTTCCTTATTTGCGGTATATTTTCTGCAGTACGTATGAAGCTGTATGTGCGTAAGAGAGCAGAAAGGTGTGCACCTCTTGAGTGCAGTGCAGCTGCAGCTGAGGGTCCAGTCTGTAGTCGAGTGCTGACTCCTGCAGGATGACCCGGATCTGGTCCTCACAGTCTGGAGACAAACGCTGTCACAACACAAACAAATAAAAGGCCTGAATATTGACTTCAAAAACTTTCCACACTCAAGGTTCTTCATCAGAGGCCGACTGACTGCGAGGCATCAGACGGATGAAGTAGCTCGTCATTTAATGAGCCACCCTTTAAATAAAACCTGTATTCATCAATCAATCAATCTTTATTTGTATAGCGTAAACTCATAACAAGTGTTATCTCGAGACACTTTACCTGCCTCACAAAAAGCAGGTAAAAAGACCTTACTTATTGCTATATTACAAAGACCCGGCCTATCCATCATGAGCACTTTAGCAAAGCAGCAAAAGTTACAGTGGTAAGACAAAACTGCCTTATTAAAAGGCAGAAATATTCGGCCAGATTCCCGGCTCACCAAGAGGGGATTTTTCTGCAAATAATATGTAACGCTATAAAGTTATACACAGTGTGAGCTTTACAGTGTAGCTGCTCTGTGTGTGTGTCGCTAACCTGGTCGGCATATTTCAGTTTCAGGCAGGAGATGACCTGACCCTCCAGCTCGCTGTCCGCCGTCGCCTTGTTCAGGATCGGCTGACAGAACTTGGGGATGTCGGCTTTACACGCCTTCCTGAGGACCGGGTTCAGCCTGTAGTCTGGACACGCACGCACACACACACTAAAGCAGGTATACTTGTAGCAGTGATGTCATATTTATATTTTTTGCATGTGTGTCTGTGCGTTACTGTCTGTGTGTGAGTCTGAGTGTGTGTGTGTGTGTGTGTGTGTGTGTGTGTCTGTGCGTGTTTGTCTGTGTGTGTGTGTGTGTCTCTGTGTGTGTCTCTGTGTGTGTGTCTGTTAGTGTGTGTGTGTGTGTGTGTGTGTGTGTGTGTGTGTGTGTGTGTGTACCTGTGTTCTGGGTGATCTGTCTCTTGGTGATCGTCTGTTTACATTTGGGGTCCATCAGCTCGCTGTTCTTGTTCTGTTTCAGACACTGAAGGACATTCTTTCCCTCCGACTCCGTGCAGAAACGCTGAAACGAACACACATCAAACGACGTCATAGACCGGAACAAGTGGTCTAACTCGTGTCGGCAAAATGTCACAACTTGGAGACTTTTTATGACGCTGTTTTGTCACATTAAGATCAATCTGATCTGGTTTTATTGGCCTACCCTGATCATGTGCTTGCAGACTCTCATCAGCTGGTAGTCCAGCTCAGGATCGACCATCTCCGTCTCCTGCAGCTTAAAGATCCGCTGGTGGCAGCGCTGAGTCAGCTGAAGTTTGTTCTCCTTCAGACACTCGATTACCTGCAGAGAAAGTGAGGATGAGAGTTGATCATGAAATGCACGAGACGATCACCGCCTCTTCTTAAACCTCAAAGTATTTCTCAGATCACACAGACTTGATTAACAAACGTGTTGCAGCTTTGACTAGTGAAGGATTGATTGTGGAGCTGCTGACCTGTGCGTTTCCAAAGGCGATGTTCTGACACAGTCTGGTGATGTCCTGCTTGCAGGAGTCGTACAGCTCGGGCTCCAGGCGGATATCCTCAGACTGCAGACATTCAGGAAGGATTTAGTGGATTTAGAGAAAACTCGCCTGCACGGAAACTTCTGATCCGTGCCGGCGAGGAATAAGAAACTCAGAGCGACTGGAGACAGATAACAACCATCAGAGCTCAGATAAGAAGAGTAGAAGCTTTAGAAACCATCTGTTTGCTGTTTCTGAAGATTTACAATGTTTGAGTTATTCTGCGGTTTGAAAAACAACACATCAAATCCGCTGACTTCTTGTAAACACCCAGACATAAACAGAATGTTTTCTGATCTTGTAGCTTCGTGTCACAGCGTACCATCTCCACCTCCTCCACCCGCAGCTGTTTGCGACACTTGACGGACACGCGCTGCTCCTTGGCGTCCTGCAGGGTGTCGTTCCTCACCGTGGTGCTGAGGCAGATCACCACGTCGACCCTGAGCGACAGAAAGACGATGAGGAGTTAAATACGCTGCGATAAGACAAGGACATGAAACAGAAATGTGGTTTCTTTGTTACTGTACGATCATTGAATAAATTCAGCGACAACATTCTGCCTCCTGAGCCTCTAGAACGGCAATCACCCATTGGACGGTTTCCGTCAGAGTGTCCTGCTCGCTCTTCTGTCTTGTTATAAAAGGCGCTGCTATCATCATCATATGTGACACAGGTAATCGATCACTCTGTAATCTCTGACTATGTTTACATGTCGCTTACTTCTTCTTGATGTTGGGACACAGTTTGAGGACGTCCTCCTTACACGCCGTCTTGAACTTGTAGGAGAAACGGAAATCCTTGATCTGAATCTGTGGACAGAAAGACGGACGGGAACACAGAGCAGCTGGTTAGTGTGCGTTTATTACAGAGGATCGCTAACCACTTCCTGTTTCTGTGCTTAATTTCATGTCCTAACCGCACATCTACCCAAAGCTACTTACTGTATTTCAAAATAAAAGCACACAACAAGATTTTTTCTCATTGTCCACTGCCCAGCTCTTACATTGCACCTTTTGTACATTTTGTGTTTTATATCATTTTTTTATATTTTACATTTTTAACATTTTCTATTTTATATATTGTAATAGCTTCTTATACTGTATTATTTAATTTGTTGCTAGTTCTGCTTTATTTCCTTGTTAATTGTTTAGCACCAATACACCAAGTCAAATTCCTTGCATGTGTAAATGTACTTGGCAATAAAACCCGATTCTGATTCTGAAGTATCGATTCTCAGCTTAAGACAGTACACAAATTTCAAAATAAAAGCCTAACAACTTATATTTTTAAACTGATTAAAATGTGATGAATCAGGTTAAAATTGAATGAAAAGTTTGACAGCCCTAATATTTAAGAATTTCTCACTAGAGATAAAAACCATTCACACGCTCTTATTTTGTAAATCACTGGAACACTAAATTGATTAGTTGCAACCATTCCAAAAAATCACCCACTATTTTGATAATCCAATAATCATTCTGAGTGTAGAAAACGAGTCAGTTTCCAACTTCATAAAGAGGTCACTTCCTGTTTCTCTTCTTCATGACGTTAAACTGAACATTTTTGGAGAGTGGACACGATGACACGTTTAAGTGTGACATCATTAAAAACACTGTTCCACATTTTCCACCACTTCCTGAAGTGTTGGAGACCAAGCTACCAAATCCATTAATGAAAGATGAAAACCATCGTGTCCTGCTTCCATAGCCAGTAACCCTGGTCAGTTAAAAACAAACATGTGTCTGTTTGCTCACCAGCTGGAAGTGCGTCACTCCCACCGCACACTTCTCGTTCATCTCCTTCTGATGTTTGTTCTGAACCAAACACTCCATCAGATCCCCGGTGTCGATCTGATTATCAGCCACCTCCTGAAAAACACAAGACGAGAAAGAGAGAGAAAGACAGAGAGACAGAGAGACAGAGAGAGAGAGAGAGACACACACAGAGAGGAGAGAGAGACGGAGAGAGAGAAAAGGGTTAAAAAACATAGAGCTTTTTAATAATTGAAAACAACATCCTGTGTGTCTGTTTTTGATCCATTATTTTTAACAATGGACATCAAATGACAAGAAAAGTTGGATAAACCTCCAACTCGTCTTCCACACAACATTTCTGCTTCTCATAGACTGTCTTAACAGTCCTAACACAAAAGTGGTGCATTAACAATATCCTCATCATGATTAAAATGTTGAGCTTTCACTCGTATCAAGTGTTGTGATTTTGAATCAACAACACAAAGCACCATACTTCAGTTTGTCCACTAGATGTCAAACTGTTAGCAAGAGGAAACTTAAATCCAGTGAGCGGCAGAGAAGTAAATATTTAACGGCTGCAGTGTGGACAGCGAGCATGCAAACATGCGGGATGCGACGTCACATCGGACGTTTGCGTGTTTCTTTTTGAAATTTCATTCTTTGATGACATTTTTTAAGAGCAGCAGACATGTTGAGAAATGTTTAAAAAAGTATTCTGTTACTCGAGCTCAAACTGGATGAGATAGTCTGGGTGTGGACTTACGTGGCAGTGGGCCTGGATGATGGGGTCACAGGCTCTCATCAGCAGCGCCTCAATCTGAATATCCTGAACAAGGAACAAACAGAGGACAAAGAATTCAGTCAGTTCTTCTAAAACCTGCTAAGATCACCATCGGGAGCAGACAACACATTGGTTAAAAACGTTGAAACTCTCAGGAATTGGCTGGATGTAAAACACCAAGAGAAACAAGTTAAGAGTGTTGCATTATGGGTAGCATCAGCAGCAGGTGTGGAGTTACCTCTGACTCCATCTCCGTCAGGTTCCCCACCACGTCTCTGCAGTCGGACACCAGATCCTCCAGGTGATCCTGCAGACACTCCAGCTCCTGGCCGGCCTCTGTCTTCTCGCTGCACCACTTCCCCAGGTCAGTCATGCAGCGCTTCTGCAGCTCAGGGTCCAGCTTCACGTCCAGCGCCCTCTGGTGGAGAATCCGCTGCACCTCCACCTTACAGTCCCTGGAGAGCTGCACAGGAGACGCCATGGCAGGTTAGAGAAAAGTAGAATATCTCACTTTGACTTTTAATGTTTCAAAACAATCCTTTAAGTGATACTCCAACTTTAACCGATTCTGTCCCGAAGAATCTGACTTTAAAGGCTGATTAAAATATATAAAGGCTAACATGCTGGCCAGAGTAGAAGATGGGGCTGTATCTTAAAAGTGAACATAGCCAAAGGATCTTAGGATGCACTCACACAAGGCAAAGTTGTCCTGTACCGTGCAGCATCATTCAGAACAACATCTCAACACAACGCAGGAGTCCACCGGTTTACATCAGTGTTTCCCCTACCATTATATTAGGGGGGCGGCCGCAAGCAAAAATTTAAATCAAAATATCTATACATTAGGGATACGCCATGCTAATCAAGCTAACTCTGAAACTTACAATAACAATATGTCTGTGGAGCATCGCTTTAAGGACAGAGAACACACATAGATTCTGATTTTAAAGAAACTTAAATTTGATCCACAAACAAAAATGTTTTTCATTATTCACATCGATTCATCACATTGAAGCTCAGCGGCTCATTTCACTCCAACAATTACTCTTTAAATCATCTCCCCACATGCATCAATACCAGATTGAAATTAAAGGAACACAATCACTGACTCCCTCAGACCACCAGTCACAGTGACAGGCGTGTTGAGTTCCCTGTGATTTATAGTGATCATCATTGGTTCAGCAGCAGGACGTACTCACAGTCACTCCCTTGGTTTCTGCTTCAGATGCTCCATCGGGGAGCTACGACGATATTCTCTGGTCAGTGACAACGTTTACAGGCTTTCTACATTAGTCATCACATCTTCAGCTATCGTCATATTGTGGCTGTGCTGTATTGTGCTGCTTTCAGTTTGTTTGGTGGACATGAAATCACTTCCAGATGACTGCTTTATTACTGCTCAGTCGACATTTTAGTCCCCAGTAGTTATGAGTTAAAGGTCACATATTCTCCTCCTCTTCAATCAGTATAAATAAGTCTCAGAGCTCCTCACAACATGTGTGTGAAGTTTCTTGTTCTAAATCCACTCTGATCCTGTATTTGATCATGCCTATAAACCCCTCTATTTCAGCCCTGCTCAGAACAGGCTGTTTTTGTGTCTGTACCTTTAAATGTAAATGAGCTGTGTCTGACCACGCCCCCTCTCTGGAAGGGCTTGGGTGTCACTGGCTTTCCAGCTCCATGTCCTATTGTTTACGTTGAGAAGGCAGACTCAGAGGGCAGAACAAACACCTAGCTGTGGGAGTGTCACCCACCTGGGGGAGGGGTTACTGCCTTTTGTGATGTCATGAAGGGAAATCTCCATACGGCCTGTTTGAGCACACATTTTCTGAAAAGTGGAGCAGGCTAAATACGCAGAGGATGGACTTTTCTCGTCATTGGGGGGTTTGTAGACAGACTAGAGACACATATTAGTGTATAATGGATTTTGTATAATATGTGACCTTTAAGAAAAAAACAGAATACAGCCGTGACTGTATATTGACTGGAGACTTTAGCACATCTTTAAAAAAACAATGATTTGACTGGTGTGTCAGGACTTCTGCAATGATCAGGTTTCTCACAATGGCCCTCACTTATCAACGTACGTACGGCAGAAAAATGGGTGTACGCTCATTTCCACGCAAAGTTCGGCACTTATCAATTTGGACGTGAGCGGAGGGTACGCTCAAATCCCACGCCAGGTCTCAGCTCGTGTACGCACGTTTTCAACTCAGTGTGGACTTGCGCTGCAGCGAATCTGCTTGCTAAGAAAGGCAAATAGAGGTTCACAGATTTACTGACAGATAAGATATCTAAAATGTATTTTATATCACGCTCCACCTCTAACGATCTCTGTAGACTACATTGCTTTTTAAATAATGTTGAGCATCACGAGCTGTCAGGTGATTTCTTTAGTTGTGTGTTATATTTGATGATTTAATGTTTGTTTAATCGATTTACTTTAAAGATTAAGTAAAGTAAAGTAAAGTAGAGGCTGCTTTCGGTAATTAGGCTTACATGTTACACGTTCATGCACACAGGAATATCGCTGCAGAAAATACTGAGACAAATTAAAACAGAAAAACTACAAACAGTTACTTGAAAAGGACATAAAAACTTCCAGAGATACTAAATACAACTTTTAGCCTCTGAAATATTTAAGAATACAGAACATTAACGTTAGATCATAACTAAACGGTATGTCCGGAGATTAAAATAATAAATACGCTGATGTGCCACATGTGTAATTGCGCACAGCAGACGCACATAGGCCAGAGACTACATGTGACATAATAACGAATAAAGAAATCCTGGGGCTGTAAAACACAGTCAGGACCTTCTTGTATGTAAGTGTTAAATTCTTATGTTTGGAAAGTAGGCTAATCGGATGAGAAGTGCAGATTGCACAGCGTTTGATCAAACACTTTATTCATGTGATGTAGGACGTTTCAGGTTTCTCTTCTCTTTTAAAGTCTCATTAATGGCGAGCACAGAGCCCGTTAGTGCAGCCAAAGTTATTCGACACAGATGCAGGTTCGCCTGTACCACTTGTGCCTGATATTGAGGCTGTACTGATGAAAGAAGCCACTCGCTCCTGGATCTGGGATTATTTCAGGTGGGGTACGACTGCCGTCCTCCGGTCACTGCTTCTTTTAAAACCCGCAAAACTAGCCTATATTGTAGCGATCTTAAAGTCTGACCAGGTTTTTTTAAACGTAAAAGTAAAAAATTGTGATTTGTGTATTATAGCCAAGATTATGTACATTACACGGATGTTAAATTAAATATTAAAAACTCTGCTGGAGTTCAGTTATCCAAACCAACGCTGTTGAGATTTCCATGAAGGCGCATTTCTTCTGAAGCTCTTTAATCCTACATTTCAGGCTGCCAGACAACACAATGTTATTCCTCTTTTCTCTGTTATGGTGTCACTCATGTCATATCTTGTTTCTCTTCTTTGCCGTATTACGTATCTCCATGCCGTAATCTCTGGGGGCAAGGACAGCTAAACCGTGAATAAATAGGGGCGTGGTATTTGAATGACGATCGTTTCCAGCCGCCACACTTATCAACACCTGGTCTTGCGTACGCTGTGACCAGCCAGATACGCACGTTTCATAGGTCCCACATGGACCCTGTCGTACGATGATTTCTACACCCAAATCTGCGCTGGTTTCTACACCAGATTGATAAGTGAGAGCCACTGTGAACTGAGATACTGTACAAGGTCTGCTGGTTCAAAGGACAATAAATGAATTGATAGACTCTCGTTTAGCCGTGAGATGTGTTTCTGTCATGTGAGTGAAGTAAACCTTTAACACAGATCGGATCAAACATGTACAAGTGTTAGAGGACAGAGGCGTTGCAGACACTCACCCTCCGTCCCTGCTCCACAGAGCGGTAGGCGTGGCGGTACAGGCAGGAGAAAATGGCGCCAGGCGGCATCATCTCACTCGTCACGTTCCAGCCGGGAGTGTGGCAGAGGCGAGCGGCGTCCCCCTGACATTTTTTATACAAGATGGGATCCAACCTGAACAACACATGCACTGGTTAACAACCGGATGTTTACTACTTTCTGAGACTCATCAGAGGTTCCTGTCAAACCGTGAGCTGTAACCAAGCTCCTCTCTCATCACTTCTCATTTAGATTGATTCCTTGACGGCGAGATATCGCTGTCCCTGTCTGTGAATTTACCAAAGACTGTAAATATAAGTAAACGAAGCCGAAGAGTAACGTCACCCATCTGTTTCTGCAGGGGGCGCTGGAGTCCCATCGATGGCGGTCTCCATGCTGGAAATGCTGTCTCAGCCTAACTTTCAGTCAACCTAACGACAGGCTGAGAGCTGGAGCTGAGGCGGGTTTTGAAGCTCCTGACAAACCATTACACCACGCCCGCCTGTCAATCAGGTCAGCTACACGCCTTATTGTGAATAACTCTTATCCTTCATCAAATCAAAACTGATGAGTCATCAAAACATTCACCCCCCGTACAGTGTGTGTCGATCGAGACATGAGCTAATCAGACCTATTTGTTTTTTTGAACCAGGCTGTAAACATGTTAATCTCTGCTGTAAAAACAGGCTTTTTAGAATGGGTGCGTATGAGACTTCCTGTGCTTCAACAGCCAGTCTCTAGTGGACACTCCAGGTACTGCATTGGCTTCCTTTTTCAACACCGGAGGAAGTTTTTACAACCTTTCTGGTATGGCAGCCAATTTCAAAATTCTGCACAATGAAGACCGCAACAGGCCAGAATAATCCACTGCTGCTCGACATTCATCCGCTCCAGCTCCAACATGAGACGCTCGGTTTCAGTCGCAGTGGTTTCATGAACAGATACACTAACGCACACTAAGTGTGTAGTGCTCACTACAGTGTAGACCAACAGTCGACACAGAAGTATAAACCAGGCCAGAGAGTCGGATTAAGTGAGGCCTTGTAGGTTAAAGAATTTGTCTGCTTTGTTTACATCTTCTAAAATATTTCTGTTTATTCGAGGGAAACTTCCGGTCTATGTTCAGCTGGACTTACTTCCAGTCTCTGGCGATGAAGTACTGCAGCTCCAGCAGCCTGTGCTCACAGTCCTCCACCATCTTCTCCGTGTACAGATGCTCCATCAGACACGACAGGATCCTGCCCAAAATGAGTCAAATTAAAACCCTATTTATTAAAGTCTGTTTGGGATTGATGCATTTGTGTTATTTTGTCTAAAATCTGTAATACATTTTAAACTACAAAATCCATGAGCTGCACCACAAAGCTCAAATAAACCTGTTCTACAATGAAAGACAGAAATCAGGGGGAGGACTGACATGGGGTCTCCATTACGGATGTGTTTGCAGGCAGTCTGGATGACTGACTCGCAGGCCTCGTTGAGCGCTCGGTCGATGCGGTAGTCTGCTCCGGGGTCGGCTTCCTGGATCAGAGTCTGGAGCTGAGGATGGAAGAACAAACAGCAACGGAGATCAGGAGTAGGTCTCAAGATTCAAAAAGGCTGGAAATGTCACAGCAAATTCTAACACTTCAGACAACAGCTGATCTTGAACTGAGTCCCTTTCATTTGAAGTTTGATGGTTAATATGTTTTTTTGACGAGCACTTCCTTCTACAGGAGTCAGACACTCAAAGCTTCAGAATAAAGAAACTAGTAGAAACATTTATCTTCTGCACAGTAAGCTAATCTTTCCTTTCTTCAAACATCTCCTCACTTACATCAAATGAACATGAACATCTGCTGACAGCTTCTGCTTGAATCTCTGTTCAGTCTGCATTAATGCTGACTCACCGCTTTCTGACAATTGGGGTCGATGGCTCCCATGTCTCCTCGTCCGACCCTCATCAGGCAGTGCAGCGTGCGTCCTTTTCGGTGCAGGCCGGAGCAGTGACCCTCGATCTCGCTGCGGCAGTGCAGCACGATCTCCGGACTCAGAGAGAAATCCTCCATCAGCATCCGCCTGTAATCCATCATCTCGCCCTGACACTCGCCGTTCACCACGCGGCCTGGACGACACACATGACGTATAAATATTTAATGCAATACGACTTCAACTTAAACCTAAAAGCCATGAATAGTGTTCAGTGGATAGAGTGTGCAAAAAGAACGACCTCGTTTTTTTATATTTTGGATTCAACTGAAGCGGAGTATGCCAAAGAGAAACTGTATTTTCTTAGGGTTGAGTTAATCCTGCAGTTTTACTTGTATGAGAAATAACAGACATTCTATAGGATGTTTTTATTGTGATGACAAATAAAATGTATTCTTATTATTTAAAGTTGGATATTTTTTTTTATTTCTTTCCTCCTCTAACTAACTGCAGCGACAGCGTTGGCTCAAACTGTGACTCTGTGCTGAACTAAAGCTGGCTGATTGACAGGTTCATTGTGTTAAATTGTCAATTGATGACTCATGGGAAGAGCTGAGTCACAGATAATCCAGTTTATAGCCAGGTCTGACTGACAGCTCAGGACATAGATTGGTGGATGAGGTGGAGCGGCTCACCTCTGTGGACTGCAGACTCCAGACACAGCAGCAGGTACGACAGGCGAGCTTCTCGGGCTCGCGGCATATTGGAGTCAGCGCTGCAGCGGTATTTCCTCAGGTCGGACTTGCAGGCTTTGGCCAGCGAGTAGCTCACCTTGTAGTCCTGAGCGATGAGTTTCTGCCGGGTGGTCAACGCCTCGCGGCACTGAGGACGCACAAACATACACAGAGTCAAAAAATATGTGTGAGGTAAGAAGTATAAAGGTCAGATCAGATCCACGGGGGCAGAATAACACAGGTGGACAGACCAGATTCACTCCCAGGATGAGTATGACCTTCATCTTTGTCACATCAGTTCATTTTCAAACACAAACATGAGATATAAAAAAATGCAAACAGAGCTACAGCGTTTTTGAGACACGTCCATAAATTAATTAAAAAAATCAGGTGATAATCAAGACTTCTCTGGACTCTCAAGTAAATGACAAACTGCAGTTTTCGCCTAAACAGCCAACCTGTCGTCACCACAGAAGCACGATAGAAAGACAGGACATGAACAGAGTGAATGGCACTCACCCTCTCATTCATCGCTTCCTCAAACTTGTGATTGAAGAGACATTTGTAAACTCGTCCTTCTCCGGCCAGAGTCTAAAAACAAAATCAAAATACACTTAATCAGCAGCAAAACTGGAAAAGTCTCTCATCTTTATCTCATTCTTCATTTTCATCTGCAGAGTATTCAGACTGTGAGGCGTAAAGTCCTCACGTTTTCACAGAAGCGCTCTCGGTCCTCGCGGCAGGCGAAGTACAGGTAACGGTCCAGGTGGAAGTCGTCTGAGGAGAGCTCCGCCACTCTCATGATGGACTTCTTACACTCGTCTTTGATGGGGTGAGCCCCCGGCTGCTCCTCGGCTTCTCGCACCAAAGCTTTCTCCAGACAGGCGATCACCTCGCCCTGCGAGTGGATGTCCTGCACAGAAAGAACAGAGTCACACAGGGAGAGCAGCAAATATCAGGCAGGTCGCACAGACGGAGACTTTCAGATCAACAGTTCTACATTTTCTACTAAAATTATATAAACAGATTTTAAAGAGACATTTTTAAACAGTTATCAAAGTGTTCACATGTTAGAGTTTCTCCTGCAGCCTCCTCATATTTATTTAGGTGCAAAGGAGTAACGTTTTGACCCAGAAGAAGACAGTGGGTCCTAAATAAATGTCCCTGAAGTGATTTGTATGCTCCTGGACTTTCTTAGGATCCTGCCTGAGAGAAGGAGTCCATTTCTTGAATGTCTAAAGTAGTGTTATAGTCAAGACCACATTAACCGCGACCAAGACATTCCCAAGACCAGAGTACTCCGAGACCAAGACGACATTTAGGGATCGAGACCGAGTCAAGACCAAGACCAAGGCAGGACGAGACCGAGTCAAGACCAAGGCAGGACAAGGTCGAGTCAAGACCAAGACCAAGGCTGGACGAGACCGAGACAAGACCAAGACCAAGGCAGGGCGAGACCGAGACAAGACCATAAATATCTTGTTTGCAGGAGGCGTGTCACTCACTTTGACTGTAATACCGGGAAGGTTGTGGCCAAAACCGGGGGATAAAAATTAAACGTCAAATGAATTAAAGTTACATGTTCAGTTGAAAGAGGCGTTTTCCTTCTATTCACAGCGAGCGTTTCATTCTACTTTTCAATCATTCTCCACGTATTAATGATGACAACGTTTGTGTCCACTCAGTTCATCAACCAACACGGCTTCTGTTAGATTCCCAGCAAGGACAGACTGAGAGACGGACTCTCTCTGCTGTCAAATCATTCTCTCTCCAACAAAATGTTTTTTTCACATTTCAGTCCTCTTACAATAGAAGCTCAGGACTAATGCTGCAAAGCTTTTACAAACACTTGAGTCATCGCTCCACATTCAGGTAGATGGAGAGGTGAATGGAAATGTTAAAAACTTGTGTTGATGAAAAACAAAATCAGCTTTTAAATATCTCAAATGCAAATGTTCCCCAGTTTTAGGGTAATGACGACCACTAATCCCACACACAATGACACTTTCTTTCTCTCCAGAAATCATTCTGTCAGGGTGACGAGCTGCGCCTGAGTAAATATGGTCAGTCCAATCCACACAGGGAAATGAGCTGCCGTGACAAATTCCTGATAATGAAACAGACTTTCCCTCCCTACTGCCGGATAAATTATTAGCTCTGAGTTCTAAATGTGGCACTGAACATCCCATAATAACCACGTGTCTAACGGGTTTATGAGTTTTTGGGCTTGGCTCAGCAGCAGGAAGACCTCAGTTCAGAGCAGATCGATTCGCTCTGCTGGCTGACAACTGCCGTCAAACTTCTCTCTTCTCATTCCAGCTGAGTCAGACTCTGAGCTCAGTTCTTAATAGATTACGTTCCCGTTACTATGACGCCCAAAATAAGAACAAAATCCGAAACATTTCACACTCACTACAGCCGTCCTAGGTAAAGAGAATCTTAATAAGGAACGGGCACTTTATCTGGCAGCCGGGAACTCTTGAAATTAATAGTATGTCCACTAAGTGCTTTTTTTTTTGCGGATTATTCTTTCTCACCAATGACCCTTTCTTTCTTTAAAGAAGTTTCTGCGGTCCAAAAACATCCAATCACAGCGTGCCACTCAAAACCCGGTCCTGAACAGGTGAGCTTTGCAGAGTAAGTCTCCAAGGTGATCTAGCCAGCATTTAAGGATTTACAGTTCTAGGAACTGTTGGTACCCTCCCCCTTTTTGACTTATTCCACACAGCAGGAACTATGAACTATTCTAGTTCCTAGAACCCCGTCTAGAGGAACCTTTTAAGCTCCTGCTTCAGATTAGGTACTCTCCCAGCACAAAAGGGACTATGGGTGATGTAAGTGTGCTATGACTGGTCGAACACTAGAGCCAATCCAGTACCATCAACAGTGGGATTTAAATCCAACTGTAAACATTAGCAAATAGCAGTAAATAAAAGTCGGTAAAAGCTCTTAAAATCATTTTTTTTAAACACGGACCAACAATGACATACAAGCATTACTGAGTGTTCATGCGATGGAGGAAATATAATGCTTACGCCATTTAAGGGTCATATCAGCCGTCACCGTGGCGATGCAGATGCAGACAGGAAAAACAGTCCCCATGGTGTGTCGTTCGTCTTTAAAAAGAGTCTGCTTCATGACCCTGAACCTTCATCTCCATCTAACCCTCTAATCTATCTTAGTCCGACCCTCTGATCAACAGGAAGTCAGGCCCATTTAGGATGTAACCCTTATGACAGCATGATAGTAAAAGCAGCAAACGGTTTGAGTCCTCTACCTTCTCTCCGGTGCTGATGCTGCCGCAGCGCAAGGTGTTGATGTCCTCTCTGCACTTGTCCATGAAGCCGCAGATTAGCCGGTAGTCGCTGAAGACGATGGTGGTCATCTTGGTGATGTACTGGTTGCACTGGTAGTCGCTGATGTTTCCACGGTGATCTACCAGACAGGACACCAGGTAGCCTTTCCCCAACTCCTCTGCCGCACATTCTTTGATCTGAAAGAAGAGCACAGTCACATCTTTAGTTCAGTTACACTTCTAATATTGAAAATAACTTTTGACGCCTCTTCTCCTTTTGTTTGTTCTTAGTTTTGGCGTTGCTGATTTGAATTCTTCATCATCTTCAGTCTGTCTGTTTGTGTCTGCTTCACTCTTAGTTTTTATGCATCTACAGTATGTTCCCTCCCTTCTACGCCTGCTGTGATCGTCATCCTTTATGTCTATTTCAGTTTGTTGTATCATGTGTGACATTTTCTAAAAGCCTAACCAGGGACAAGCAGGGCTGTACTTCACTCAAATCATTACAGCAATATATCGTCATGTGCTCCATGCAAATACACATTGATGCAGATGGTACAGGATCGATACGGCTGCAAAGCTGTGATGACAATTTTGAAAGACAGTTTCATTAACTGACAGACATTTCTTTTTATTAACTTCTTCCTTTTTTTAGTGCAAACACAAATGCAGAAGCACAAATAAGTATTTTGCATGTTTTGTTAAGATTATTTGGGGGGGCTTTTTGTGCCTTTATTGTAGTGACAGGTCAGTGGATAGAGTTGGAAATCGATGAGAGGGGGGGGGGGGGGGGTGACATGGAGGAAAGGAGGCACAGATCAGATTCAAACCTGGTCCGCCTGCATGAGGACTACATCCTCTGTACATGGGGCATGCACACGAACCACTACTCTACCGGCCCCCCAGCACAAATAATGTCTCTCTTTCAATCAAATAACTATTTTTCTCAGTCAATAAGAGGGCTTCTGTTTGCAGCTCAACACACCATCATCTACAGTTCATTCAAAACATTTTTTAGCCTATTTCTGACAGCACAAAAAGGATCTTTAAAAGCTGTCACAGTGACTGTGTGCGCTGTAGAATCCTGTCCACATATATCCATTTAGAAATGTTCACATGTTTGACAAACATAAATAAAATGAGCAGAGTACAAAATAAAAATACTCCGTTCATCACGACTGTTTGTCCCTTTGTATGTTGTTTTTTTCTTCAAGGAATCCAAACGTGCGACTGGGAGTTTTAATAAAGAGAAGCAGGACTGTTTTTGTTAAACTGCTTCAGCAGCTGTGAGTGAACGGACAACAAACACAGAGGCTGCAAGCAGAGCGAGCTGAGAAATCACGGACCAGATTAGAGAGCATTCCTTTACAACTCCGAGCAAGGTTTTCTCTAAGAGGAATTTAAAGGCTACTCCGCAGATTCTCACAGATCAAAAAAAAAAATTCAGCTTAAAAGGATCCAACTCCAGAAAGGACACTTTGGTGAGACAGGGAGTCTAAAGCTGGAGAGGTTTGGAGTCAAAGACTGACCTCTGAGATGGTGTTCTTGCAGACCTCCACGGCTACAGACTCAAACTTTGGGTCGGTGGTCAGGTTCAGCTTGTAGTTCCACAGCAGCTGGAGGAGAGAAGATACAGAAAACACAGGTTAACAAACACTGTTCAGATACGATCAGAGTCCAACTAAATATCTCTGTTTGAAGATACATCATTTTGATAATACAGTGTGTAGTGACTCTCTAATGTCCAAATGTTCAAATCCACTTGCAAAGGTGTATGGAGAGGTCTCGAATGATGATGGATGGCTGCAGAGATTATATTTATGTTTGTTTACGGTAAGAGCCAGATGTTCCCACCACCTATGCCACCAACTTCCTGTTACCCCGTGACCTATAAACACCTGAGCAGCTAACCCCAATGACCTATTATGTGTCAAATAAACCAAAACCATTGAAATACAAGACATTATTCTACACACTAAATTGGCTCCGACACAGTGTATTTATTTATCTCTACATTAGGTCTTTGTTTTTTTTAAACTTTGATTTCATCTTTTTGTTGCATATTCCAATTTTCCAAAAACACCAATAACTTCTCCTGTCTATTGTCTAAATGCAGTAAACATTACATATGATTATAAGAGAACACAGTGCATGCTGGGTAGTGAAGTTTAAAGGAATAAGTGCAAAGACTTACATGGTTGCATTCTGCAGCAATCTCTGTTTCCTGGAAGACGAGGAGAGAAAGAAGAGGTTAGAGATCATTGGATCATTTTTAAACATGTGGTATAGAAATAGTTAAAACCTTAGTACCAAAGAAATACTTTAAAAAGCTGCAGAATCGCCCTTTAACCCTCTGTGGACCGTTATATAAGGAGATGATGCAGTTCTTTGGCCCGCTAGCTCTCAGTAGGACACACCTTCATAGGTGGCCTCCTTCCAGCAAGGCGGCCCCCGACTCAGGGACACCGAGGGCTGGGGCCGACGTGTGGCCATTGAGCTATTTTCCTTGCTGCGCTGACCTGAAGTGACCCGCCTGACTTCCTGCCTCGACAAGCAGCCAAATGCCTGCACACCACACGATCAGCCTCCCCCTCCCCTTCAACCAGAGAAACCCCAATCACTGCTCTTTTCCCAATGGAGGAATGACACTGTGTCTGTGTGTGCGCTATTTACATTTACTTTACACACAAGTGTCACAATGCTCTGTACACAGACGTAAAATGCAATGTGATATGTGGAGAGGGGGTTGAAGAAGAGATCTGACGTTTCTGATGTTATAAACAGCTCCGTGCTGACTCGTGGGTCCGTTGGGAGGTGAAGAAAAATAAACGGTCGTGGAAATGTGACGCAGACTAACCAATCACAGCTGACACCAGAACAACAACGCAGTTCACACAGGGCCTCTCATCGTCTTTTATTTATTTGTTACTAATTGATGCATCTTGTAACATTTCAGGAGAATCTCTGGAACATATAACAGCATCTTTGTGTTTTCTCATCAGGTGAATTCTGCTTTTTGTTGCATAAATAAAAGTGAAATGATAAAGTGAGCTTACTATATGATCAGACATTAAGGAAACATGCTATGTTGAAGTGCTGGCTTCTCTGACAACAATGCAGCAGCCAGTATGTCCTCCTTCTAACTTTAGATTCTGGTCCTGAATGCTCTGGATTTGTTTGGACCAGAGAAGGTAGGCGGTTTTAAGGCAACCCGATACGGCTGTTTTGGACGCCCCTCGGTTTGCCAGAGAACTGGTTCAGATAGAAGTGATTGTACCCGACCTAAAAAGCCTCTGCATGTTTCTAATAAGCTCCACGAGCAGAAACGTGCTCAAACTAGGATCAATATTGGAGAAGCTTTTGAAAAATGGAGAGAAGTTAGAACGCAGAAAGGTTTACAGACCGATGCAGAGCTGGCTAAACACTGAAGCTTCAGTGTCCACCACATGGCAACCTGCGTGAGCATCGACTCGAGAGAGGAGGGGGCGGGGAGAGACAGCTCTCTACAATGTTTAGAATTTGGACTGCACTACCCATTTTAAACACTAGGTGTCTGATAACTGCTCTCATATCTGGCAAACTGAGGGGCGTCCAAAACAGCCGTGTGGGCGTGCCTTAAAACCAGCTACCTTCTCTGGTCCAAACAAATCCAGATCATTCAGGACCAGAATCTAAAGTTAGAAGGAGGACATACTGGCTGCTGCATTGTTGTCAGAGAAGCCAGCACTTCAACATAGCATGTTTCCTTAATGTCTGATCATATAGGAAGCTCACTTTATCATCTCACTCACTACACATCTCACTGATTTCTCCTTTAAAAAAGGGAACATCTTTCATAAAAAGGTCCTTTATCAGCAGCATCCTTTCTATAATGTTTCACACAATAAATCCAACAATTTGTGCCTGTATGGCACCAAAAAGCACTTTTAAGTTACATGCTTTGATAGGTCACATTCTGCTGCAGCAAGAGTAAAAAACAGAACCCATGTTTAAAAATACCAAAACTCCTCTTTATCAAAGGCTTTATAGAGCCCACACAGTTTGAAGTCCTCAGGTGAAATCAGGTGAAACTGCTGGATTAAACGGACTAAGTTTGCATGCATGGCAGTCTCACTGAGAGCGGAATAGTCCGTCTGTGTGGAGTAATCTAACACAACAGCAGGGAATAAACCCAACACGGCCGACACACCCATCCACATACTTTGGTTGGACAGTAACATGCAGGCTCTTTGTGCAACTGTTTCTGCTCTGCTCACTGACAAGAGAAAAAACTGTGAAGAACCTCCATCTCAGTTAATAGCTGCAGCTAAATTAAACTTAATCAGCTCTCCTCGCTGTGTCTTGGGGGAAGCCGGAGTGAGGCTGAGCTATAATTGGATGTGGGTGAGAGGAAGAGATGGAGTGAGAAAATGACACACGAAGTGAGAGAAGGAGGGGAGAGGGAAGCCGCTCGATTAACAACACCTATGGAGTCATGGAGCACAGCAGCTGGCTGTTTGGGTTTATCATCGTGTTCTGAGACGACTTCCTGAAGCTGACCAAAGTAATGAACCAGTTAAAACCAAATCCAATAAACAACATCTGAATTAAAAGTTAATTTCACGGGAAAATAATTAGGACAAGCTGATTGAAATGCTGAACAGCCTCACTGCCATCTGAGCTTTGTTTTTTTCTTCCTGCTTGAATTTAGTCTTAAAGCATCCACAAACCGTTTCATAATTAACAAATTTTCACTCTTAGGGGTACGAAATGGCAGAATATGTGAAATATGTCCAGCCAGGATTAGGATTGTCCCATTGCACTTCACCTTCATAATTACTACACACTTCCTTATTTTTGTATTTCAGACAAGTCAACAGCACAGAGAGAGACACAGATGAGAAAAACTCCAGTGCACACCTGCAATAAAAGAGTAAGGCACAGCCGTGACAAAACACACAACCGGACGTAGATTCATCTGCATGCTGTAATGTCAATCAACCAATCACAGACTCATCTTAAAAAACATCACCAAAGAATGGCTCTTGGACCACAGTGTCTGGACTCAGGTCAGTGTTTGTACTTGAGCTGGTTCCCTGCACACTGTTTGTTTTATTTAAACTCCGCACCCAGACAGCATGTGTGCTTTTTTTTTTCTGAGCAAACAGCTGGCAGGCCAGATCTCGGGTCAGGTGTGGGCCAGATGTTTTCACAAATGCTTACGACACACAGAAAAGAGTGCAAGCAGCTTGTGACGTGGACGTCGCATCAAACTGTGAAGGGAACACATTCACACAATGATGGTAGAGACTGCTGAGTAAAGAGACCATCAGAAGTAACTAATCCATTCATACACATTCATACACCGCCCACAAAGCAGTGGGAGACACTTGGAGTTAAGTGTCTTGCCCAAGGACACATCAGAAAGTGGCAGCAGGAACCGGGGATCAAACCATGATCTTCTGGTTGGGAGACTACCGACTCTACCAACTGAGCCACAGCCACCCCTATGAACTCCTGCACGCAGACTAATTTGCACAAATAGGTTGCCGTCTGTCTTTCTTTAGCTCCTTGGTTTTGGTTTGATCAAAGATTTGAAGATATCATCAAGCTTCAGGTACTTTTAATAGCATTGATCATTAAAAAGAGACTGTATTAAGTATGAAGGAACATGATGCCGACCTTACAGTCTCTTAAGAATAAAGTGCTTCTGTTCACCTGAAATCCACCTGGCAGAGAGAGGTTGGCACAGCAGCTACATGGGCGTGTGCGTCATTTCAGCATGTTTGCTCTGAAAGCGGATTTATTATCCTTTAACCACATTTTATTTACCTCTTTGGTTTATGCACCAGCCTGGTTATTTAAGTCCTCACAGTTTGCACAGGTCAAACAATCCAGGATCATGTAATAGATCATTTGTAAGACTTTAAATGAAGATGTGCTGCAGACATTACTGAGTGGTTTTTCAGGCTATTTGGATTTGACCAACCATGTCAAAGGTGGCTGTCCTATTTCAGCGTGGGTGTGAAATATGAATTCTAGAAGTTTTGATTCCTGAATAATCAAGATGAAGACAAAGATTCCTGAATATGCAAATGTACACAATAAGTAAAAGTCAGTCAGTGGCAGCTGAGAGGTGCCAGGTCACTTCCTGAGCACTGTGGAGGAGCCCTGCACCGCAGCTCAGGGGGCTCTGTCATGTGCAGCGCACCTCACTGACATGTCTCCATCAGTGCATGTCCACAGGATCCTGTTTGTGTGTGTTTAAAGGGATACTTCACCCATTTGCATTAAGCTTCGTATCATTAGAAACCTGGTAGTATTTTTGAATGGTCGTGCATCCCGCCCTCATTTTCCCCTGAGATGAGAAATTTCTAAGTCTGAAAAGGCTTAGAAATGAAAAATGCAAATGACGATTTTTGCGTCACTGGAAGCTGTTGCGGTTAGCGTGGTGAAACTACAACGCTAGTTCCTCATATTTTCGACCACTGAAGCTACAGATCAATCATAGATCAGTGGGTGGGAACTCACTCCCAGAATCAAAACTTAACATCTGCCATATTGCTTGGAAGCTATGCTAAGAGGCTCTATGGAGAAAGCTGATAATGGCTGATAATTGCTGCTGCCAACAGGCCGGTCTTGTGTTTTGGCTGCGGGGCTGGCGCTAGCTGACCGCCGGGCGTTTGACTGCTAGCCTGGCCGCCGCGACAAGACCAGCCTGTTGGCAGCAACCGCCTCGCCGCTATATTGCTATATTGCTTGACGCCAGCTCAGCAGCCGAGACATAAGGCCTGCCTGTCGGTGGCGGTGAGGACGAGTAGCCGGGGATGGCTCGAGCTGGGGCAGACTGGTAGTGTCGGTGCTCTCACTGTTTGGACACAAACATAGAGTCTGTTTTCTGCTAGGAATTTCCAAGATTAATTCTGGAAGAAATTTCAGAATCAGACAGAAGAACACGGTTTGAAAAATTGTAAATATTGAAGGCGTCTCAGGTAGATAGAGATTCAGATAGAGGGGGGCATGACAGAGTCTGATGAGTAAAATAAAGTGCAGAATAAAAATAAGAACTTTTGAAACGTGAAGGAAACTGCATTTCCCTAACATTATAAAAATGAGCCTTCAGTCTGACTAAAAGGCTCAAACCTGAGAGAAACAAAACATCCAAGACCAAAGAATGAGCCACAGGAGCCGAGTATGTTGTATACGTGTATGCAGCCTCAGAGCAACATGAACACTTTCAGGTAA